GATGCCCTAATAGAGAAAGAGCTAAAGAAGTGGAGAGTTTCAAACGATTTACAATATCTTCTGTTATGTTGTTTTATGAGCCTAAATTAATTACATTTACTATTGTATCTCTCAAACCACAAAGTCACATATACTTCCCAATTTGTTTCTCCATTCCTCTTGAAAATTTAAGCACTGGACATTGAATCAATTCTTAACTAATAAAATCAAACCAAGGAATCTCATGCTATAAATTTTCATGAAATCTTTTAGGGCGATAATTAAAGAAAATTTGACTCAAACTTGTGTCCATTTTTTGAATAATATATTTTTATACCTAACTATGATGTTGAACTTCTTGTCATTCTCCATCCATATGATGCTGTATCAACACTTTATCAACCGTCCATGCTACAATAACTTTCCTAAGAAGAAGCAGGGACGTTTAAATTTTTGATTGACCGTAAATTTCTATTCTATATGATTCCACCCTATCCTACCCTAAAAATCGGCTAGCCGCAAAAATCAAACAGCAATGTGGAAGAATTTTTATTCTTTCGATTAAATCGGATAGAAATACGGAATAATGATTCATTTTCACACTTTTACATTACCCTAATGAATATATATATATAAACTATAAAAAAAAAAACCTAATCGTCTACTGAGTCATTTCATTTCAACGCCTCACACCTCAACCCATTGCTCCTCCTCCTTCATCGTTCCAGATCCAGTCTTCCACTCCCGATTCCCACCCAGCCCAGGTACTCTCTCTCTCTCTCTTTCTACGCGATTTGTTGTTGTCTGGCTTGGAAAGTCTGCGATTTGTTGTTGTCTGGCTTGGAAGGTCTACGATTTGTTGTTTTCTGGCTTGGAAGGTCTGATCGCAGACCTTCATCTACGCGATAGGCAATGGTCTAGGTGTAGACCTTACGCGATCTGTTGTGGACCCATGTATGGACTGGTTCTGCTCTTGTTTGGGGTAAAGCTATTAATCTTAAATGACACGAGTTAATGTACAAACAACACATAAGCAAGTGTCGGCAAAGCCAGAGCACAAAGGAAAAGGTGATAAACAGTTAAACAAATCAAACTTTATTGTTATTCTTCTTTTTTTTTTTTTTGGGGGGGGGGGGATTGGAGATCAGATATTATAGTTGCAAAGTTGAATTCCACTTGGGAGAAAAATGAATGAACTTACCGGATTTGTGTTGGAAATGTAGAGTGGAAAATAGATTTGAGTTGATCTGCTTTTTCTATCAAAGGAATTTTATGGGTATGTAGTGACTCTTTTGACTGTGAGAATGAGAAGTTTAGCTTTAGAGAGAGAATTGATGCTGGAAAATTTCCTTCATTGTCCCCTTTGAGCTNTGATACTTGGATGGATTTCTTGGTTCAATTTATTCTGATACTTGCTTGGTTCAATTTATTCTGATTTCTTGATACTTGCTGGGATGGATTTCTTGGTTCTTATACCATCTCCATATTTTGTTTTTGTTCACAGATCATTTCTTTATGGATGAAATGACTCCACAATCATCTGCTCAAGCTGATTCTAACAGTAACATTCTACTTACCGATGACATTCAGTGTAAGGGACAGGATTTAAAAAAAACGATCTAGAGTTTGGGTGCATTTTGAAAAGATTGAAGTTACAGATGAAGCTCAATGTCAGCATTGTGGTAAGATTTACAATTATCATGCAAGAAAAATAGGTACTTCATCCTTACTTTATCATTTAGATCGTTGTAAATCCTATTTGACGAGTGTGAATAAGAAGGACACATCTCAATTAAAGTTAATTGGTGCATTCAAAAAAGATGGAGATGGTGTTAGTAGTAACTTTAGTGTTGCTAAATTCAATGAGAAGAAAATTAGGAAGGCAATTGCTACTATGATTATAATTGATGAATTGCCGTTCCGGTTTGTTGAAGGAGAAGGATTTAGAGACTTGATGAGGACTTTTGAACCTAGATTTCATATACCTTCCTGTACTATTGTGATGAGGGATTGTTTGCAATTATATATGGTGGAGAAAGAAAAATTGAAGCATATGTTTGTCTTATCTAGTCAAAGAGTTTGTCTTAGTACTGATACATGGACGTCTATTCAAAATCTAACTTTTATGTCCTTAACTGCACATTTCATTGATAAAGATTGGAAGTTACACAAACGAATAATCAATTTTCTGAAAGTTCCTAATCATAAGGGTGTGACAATTGGAAGGGACATTGAAGCATGCATGCTTGCGTAGGGGATAGATAACATATTTACTGTTACAGGGGATAATGCTACTTCTAATGATGGTGCTCTTGATTATTTAAAAAGGCGAACTAAGGATGGGAAGAGCACCATCTTAGAAGATGAATTTATGCATGTTAGGTTTTGTGCACACATTTTGAATCTAATCGTCATGGAGGGTTTGAAGGAAGTGAACATGTCAAATTTTGAAGGTACGAAATGTTGTTAAATATGTGAAGTCTTCTCCTTCAAGGCTTGACAAGTTTAAGTCATGTGTTGAGAGACAAAAAATTGGTGAGAAGGGTCTTCTTTGCTTTGATATTCCAACGAGATGGAACTCTACATATTTGATGTTCAAAGTTGCTGAACAGTACCAAGGTGCATTTGATTTGTTGTAAGAAGATGATAGGCAATTTGTAAGTCAATTGAGTGAGGGGGGTGGTTTAGGGGCCACTTACATTTGATGATTGAGACATTGTTCGTGTGTTTATGAAATTTTTAAAACTCTTCTATGAAGTCACATTGCGCATTTCTGGATCATTGTATACCACATCTAATTTATTTTTTCAAAAATTTTCTACTGTGTATGATCATTTGCAAGGTTATTATGAAGATGATGACTATCTTTTGAGTACTATGGCTATGAGAATGAAAAACAAGTATGATAAGTATTGGGGTCAATTAAATAATATTAATTTGATGTTGTTTGTTGCTATTGTACTTGACCCACGCTATAAATTGGATGCTTTAGAATTTTGGCTCAATGACAATTATAAGGCTGAGGATGAAGTAGTTAAGGTTCAAGTAGTTGAAAAGATCAAAAGGGTCATTAATCGGTTATGCCAACAGTACACTAAATTTAGTGTGGGGTGTGGAGTGGGGTCAAGTGTTGACCATGAGAAAAATGTGTCTTCGGTGGAAATGTTTGTTCAAGATCAAATACCTACAAATTTCATGAATAGGTACTGCAAGTAAAGGGCTGAGAAAGGTAACGTGGACAACAAATCAGAGTTGGATCGATATTTGATGGAAGATATTGAATTTGTTAGTGCTAATTTTGATATTTTGAATTGGTGGAAAGTTAATTCTTCTAAATTTTCGATTCTTGGCAAAATAGCTCGTGACGTGTTAGCTATGTCCATTTCTACGGTGGCATCAGAATCGACTTTTAACACTGGGGATCGTATTTTAAATCTTTTTCGGAGTTGCCTGACACCCAAAACAGTTGAGGGTCTCATATGTGCACAAAATTGGCTTCAATCGTCATCCATTGCTTATGACTTTGAAGATGTTTTGGAGGATTCATAAAGCTATAAATTAGATTCAAGTTTTTATATTTTTATTGTTATTTTTTTTATTATTTGTTGATGAGCTTTTTGTATCTAATATTTTTTTCTACGTTTTTTTATCTCAGAAATAATGGCAGAGTCAATTGTAATTTTTCTTGAGTGAAGAGAGGTGAATGACACTAGCAAAAAAAGTGATATTTAATTTTTTAATATTTGTTTTTAGTAATTATAAGAGTATTTGTGTGATATAATTTATATTATAATAATGTTATTGTTGTGGATGTTTGAGTTGTTAAAATATGGATTTATTTTGTGTAGGTTTGGTGATTTGCGGTGAAATAGTGATTTGTGGTGAACTGTCACAGGCGGAGCAGGCAGTTGCTGAGGTTATGCTTTGCAGACAGTTGGGCTGTGTTTATGCTTTCGGCTGTAATTAATGAAACAATTGCTGAGGTTATGCTTTGTAGGCAGTTGGGCTGTGTTTTGGACTGCTTGGACGGTTCTTGTAATTCTTTCTTTATTGTTGTAGTTGGATTGAATCTGAGATTGAATCAGTCCGATTGATGGCTAAAATAATTATAATTATTGATTTTTTATGTTGTTAAATTGGTGCATGTTATTTAATTAAATTGTTAAAATGATTCAAAAATTAATAGTTACAATAGTGTTTAACCGACGGTTAGGAAGTTCACCTTGATCGGGTAAGGTAGGCCAAGAAAAATTTCTTCCACAAGGAATCAGGTAGAAAGACAAAATTATATTTTTTACCCGTGAGATAAGATAAACACCCCTATTAAAAAGAATTAGGATCTCATGTTGAAAAATATAAGCTTCACCTTCCTTGAGGTTCAAAAGCTTTGGACCATCAGTTGCTATACATTACGGTGCAAAATTTATGAATAGGCCAGGCGCCCTCATTTTATAGATTGAATTAGGCTTTGGGGCAGTTGATTTGGTACAGACCAAAAAGGACTGAATTACAGCATACGGTCAAATCCAAAAGACTTTTATTCCAAAAGAGAAATCACTCGAAATGATTGTCCTTTGTTACTTTAATCTTAAGCCACCTATTAATCTTTAAGGAATGAAAAATACTATTTAAACTTAAAAATTTAACATAATTTATTAATTTAATGACATAATTTTGTTGAAATTATTAGATAAACACTAAATTTTAATGTTTTATAGAACTCACAGTTAATTCAAATGTCATAATGAATTAAATCAGTAAACTAGGCCAGCAAATTAAGTCTCAATAACATTACTCTTAAAAAATTAATGGCATTACATGGTCCCCCGATAAAATGACTGTTTAATCAGGAAAATATTGAGGATCGCCCGATTAAGGGGAGAGACATGACCATGATGAACATCTTACCAAATAAACAAAATATCGTCAGAAATAAAAAAAAAACATGTGGACCAATTTGATTGGACTGTCTTCTGGCAATAATAATGGGTAGTGACTCATATAGTGGTTACAAAAGTGAACAACAAGAAAGTCAAGTGGATTATCCTTCTTTCTTTAAAAATAATATGCCTTTAACAACATCAAGAAACAGCCATAATGTCTTTCATCAAATAATATCACATGCCAATAGTCAATACCTCCGTATCCAATTCCAAAGAAGTCCTTATGAAGTTGGTTTACAATTTGTGTATGAGACAAGGACATGAAACCATGCCTTAGCTTTTGTTGTTTTTCCTTGTATATATGTGCTTGAACATGTCATTTTTCTTGATTCTTCATCTTTTTCAGAGGGGAATTATGGCTAATTCATTTGATGATGAGTGTGATTACCTCTTCAAGGCCGTGTTGATTGGGGACTCAGCTGTCGGAAAATCGAATCTGCTATCAAGGTTTGCTCGAGATGAGTTTCACTTAGACTCCAAGCCAACTATAGGGGTTGAATTCGCTTATAGGAATATTAGAGTAGGGGATAAGCTCATCAAAGCCCAGATATGGGACACTGCTGGGCAAGAAAGGTATCTCCTTGTTCTTGCTTTTATTCGTTTAATCTATAGTTGGGAATATAGGATTTACTTGAAGACTATACTTCAATCGACGGAAGCTGCATAATAAAGTCATAAGCTGAAAGCTAATAACGTACTATAAAGCAATAGAAAGCCAATTCTTGATACTCATACTTCTTATCCATAACTTTGCATTTCACCCGTTCTTATTGTGTCTCTATGATTTGAGTTTGCATTTCACCCGTTCTTATTGTGTCTCTAGTGATTTGCTTTATACCATATTTGATTGAACTGGTTGCTTGAATCAGCTGATTGACGTTTCAATTCATGAACAAAAAACACGGTTGGGTAGAGACCAACCAGGTCAATTGAGGTTTAAAAACAGGGTAATTTGATTTTAATCATCAGATATAAGGTCAAAGATGCACCATGGCCATGTCCTCTGGGCACACCAGTAGAATCTTCCAAAATTAAGTGATGGACTTTGATCCATCTTGCTTAATTTTGCGGCTGTTTGATTGATTGTTTACTTGCTTTCAGGTTTAGAGCCATAACCAGTTCATACTACAGGGGAGCATTAGGTGCCTTGCTAGTCTACGACATAACCAGGAAAGCAACATTTGAGAATCTGAAGAAATGGTTGCATGAGCTGAGGGAGTTTGGTAGCTCCGACATGGTAATTGTTCTTCTTGGCAACAAATCTGATTTGTGTCAATCGAGACAAGTTGGTGTGGAAGATGGCCAAAGCCTTGCCCAGCTAGAAGGCCTATGCTTCATGGAAACATCAGCAAAGGAGAATGTGAATGTGGAAGAAGCATTTCTCCAGATGGTTACTAAAATCCATGAAATTACAAGCCAGAAAAGCCTAGAAGCAAAGACTAATGAAACAAGTCCAACACTTAATGGGAAAAAAGAGATTATCAATGTTGATGAAGTGTCTGCTACTAAACAAACTAGTTGTTGTTCATATTGAGCTGATTCCAGAAAAGCTATACAGCGGCTTTCAGTTGCTTATATACAACATTTTCCCTCAAATCTTCTGTATTCTAGTCTGTGTAAGTTTGCTTTAGAACTTTGATGAGTGAAATTTAAGATCTTTAAAATATTGTGACTTTTTCTTAAATTTAGTTTTGTAAAAACTTCCATGCCTCAAGTGGCCTTGGTGTGCGTGTGGGGCTCAGATGACCTACTAGGAGTCCATCTTTATTTCTAACCTCAAAGTTGTGTTCTTCTAAATTGCCTTGCGTGGATCAGTGTGCTGTGGAGGTTTTGGCTCTCCCCACTTAGCATCCTCGGTTGTTAGTGTGCGCCACGGGGAAAAGGGAGAGGGGGGAGGGGGGGTACGTTATGTCTAATTGAGTTTAAGAATTAAATGTAGGAACCCAGGCAGCGATTACCAATTCTGCAAGACAAAAGATCTTAAAAACTAAGGATAACGAGTATATTTATTTTTGCACCAAAATAACATTTACTGGTGTCAGTGGATTACATTGGCATCCATTTAATTTAGATAAGAATTGTTGAAAATTATAATTTTTGGATTTAATTTGTCAATAAGTTCAGGCATGAACTTTTTTAAATCATTAGGTTCAATTTAGCTAAACTTTTTTGTTATCTAGTCCAAACTAATTATTTTTTTATAACTTGCGATTGCTCAATCTCCATCAATACCTCTTCTGATGCTTCTATACTGTTCCCAACCGCGGAGCCATAGTCCGTAACTCCTTCAATGCCGTCACCAGCAACAGAAACACCGTCCTCCGCTATAGCTCCTTCTCAGGCCACCGTCAACTCTCCATCTCTTAGTCATATTTTTTGTATTTTTAAATTTCTATCTTCTAACAATTATTATTTATGTTAATTATCTATTGTGTAAAAATAACAAATAGTATTGAAACTATCTTCTAACAAATGGTATCAGTGTTGTGAAAGAATAAATGATATCAGGAGCTTTTGACTGATGTCAAGGCTTTTTGAAAAAAAATTCATAACTAAGTGTTAGTTTGAAAATAATTCTCAAATGCAGGAAGTTTTAAAAATGTCATTTGGTCTAACATTTTTAAACTAAAAGACATCAGTTAGTCTGATATTTTTAGCTTAAAAACATCAAACCAAATAAAATTTTTAAGTTTCTTCTCCTACAGTATTGACTTTAAAGACGTCAATTCATTTGACATTTTTAATTAGAAACGTCAATCTTACTCACGTGTTTAACCCCAATCTAAAGATGTTGATCCACTTGACATTTTTAATTTCAAACCTCAATACGACCCCCAATCCTTTGCAGCTTAAAAAACGTCAATAGGACTAACGCATTTAGAAGCAACTTGTAAGCATCAGACCACCTAACACGTTCAAAAATCCCCCGAATTTTCAACCAATTGGAAGAGGAAGTAATTTTAGGGAAGATATTTACCAAAGATTTGAAGATTCTCCTTCCAATCATACTTGGAGTTTTTCTTTAATTTTTATCTGTTTTACTGTATAGAGAATGTTAGGGTTTTTTTTAGAGTTCTTTCTACTGTTCTTTATCTCTAAGCTCTGTTCTTTCATTTGTTCTACCAATCTTATATTTAGTTGTCTTTAATTTCAAAGTTAATGATTTAAATTTAGTTTTTTCAGTACAAACAATTACTTCCAAGTCAATTTCTACTTTCATGAATTCAATTATGTTTTCTTTAATTACTTGCATTATTTACATTACTTGTAACACCCCAAAACACACCCTGGACGACATTACATTCTAGAACCATTTATATCATAAGAGCACTAATATAATCCCTTAAGAAATAAGACTTCATTTGTCATCCACGAATATTTATAGCATTATCCAAAAGAATAAGCCAAAGTCATTGCTATTACATCTCAAAAGTTAATTAAAGAAGCACAGCGGAATAAACAAAAGAAGGTAGACTACACAATGTTCCAAAAAAATGTCCTAGTCTAGTACAAAAGGAAAGGAGGCCGCTCTATGCGTCCACCTGGGGATCCACACTCCCGTCGAATGGAATCTCTCAAGTAGCGGGCTCCTCGACCCTTACGTCCTCCTCCTCAAGCGGGTAATCTGAAAAATGTTAGTGATAGAGGGTAAGCACGAATCTCTGCAGAAAAATTCTCCCAAACCCATACAAGGTTTAAAAAAGCATTTAAAATGGTTAGTCTCAATTTTAACATAACATAGATACATAATTTGNAGGGTGAGCACGAATCTCTGCAGAAAAATTCTCCCAAACCCATACAAGGTTTAAAAAAACATTTAAAATGGTTAGTCTCAATTTTAACATAACATAGATACATAATTTGAAATAAAGCAGTGACATTTAAAAAGGATCTCAAGTTTATTACAAAATATTACTTAAATGAATAAACGAGCACCACATACAAATGATAACCATTACTAATTCTCAACAATTCTTTCGGTAGGTGGCATATTTTGTGGTAATCTCCACCCCCTTTAGGTCACCTTTGATTCTCAAACATTCTTACCGGAAACCTCTTGAGAATAGATGAGCATCCTTACATGGAACCTCTCACCAATCACTACCTTGTTTCCCAAACATCCTTACCGAAAACCTCTTGGGAAGGGGTGACCATCCTTACAAGGAACCTCTCACTCATGTGCATCACAAACAACCCAACCAAGCACACAATTCCAATATTTATCTCAATTTACAAGCATCTATCCAAAATTCCCAAAATATATCCTGTAACAATTTCACAACCAACTAAGAAAATACATGAGATCATAATAACATCATTTTTCTATCCCACACAAAACACTAAGGTTTCGAAATCCATAATAAAGAAAACATTTAGAAAGAAAATACATCACTCTCCAAAAATTAGGGTTTTAAAACTAAAAAGGAGATTTCGTGGGTATTAAACCCTACTTTATTCAAAACATGTAATCCTTGCAAAAAGCCTAATAGAGGATGATTTCATAGTATATATATATACCATTGATAGACAAATCATACATATATGAATACCATAGCCTCAATGTAAGTGAAAGAGAGAAAGCCCCTACATTGAATCCTTAGTTTGTAGGAAGAACTTGAGCTTTGATCTTGAATCTACTCTTAAATCTCTTATTTTTTCATTCATTTCTTCCTCTCTAATGCTCTCTAGGGTTCCAAGAGGTGTGGAGTGAAAGAAATGAGGGCAAATGGGATGAAAATGGGGTTTAAAACACCTCAGCCCCGAAATTCATTGTTCACAACATGTTTTGGTTTTCTTCAAAATTACAATTTTGCCATTAAGAATCTCTAATTTGATCCATATGACTACCGTAAGGTTTTTCGACATTTCGGATTCATTTTTAATGTTATTTTAACCTAAAAATATTTATTTTTATGATTTATCTCAAAACCAAAGTCAACGTATATCCGAAACACTAAAATTTTTATTTTACCCATCCGAATCGGCTATTAATGAAGTTTTGCGTTGTTTGTAAATAAAATGTGTTACAGGGTGCTTCTTAAAGCCTTTTATAACAACTAAAATGTGCTAAAGGGTGCTTCTTAAAGCCTTTTATACTTATTTAAAGCCTAAATGTACNCTGTGCCTGCTCCTGGTGACTTGTAGGCTGTCTCTGAATCGGTCCGCTTCCACGTGCAGGTTGTCTACAAACTTGAGCTAGTTGTTGTGTTTGCTTTACTCCAGCTCCTTTGGTCGGGCAATTCACAGACAGGTGCTCGGGTTGTCCACAAGAATAACACACTCGTGCTATGCCATCACAACGATAAAGTGCAGAATGCGGCCGTCCACACTTGTAACATGGCCATAATGCCTGTTGCTTCTCTTCTCCATTCGTTCGTGTCATGGTCTTCTTGTTGGGGTTGTTACTCCATTTGTTGTGACCTGACCGCAGAAGTCTCTCGGCCTTTTGCTTAGTTGCTCCTTTCCTCCTGAGGTGGTGTCGAGGGTCTTTTCAACAATGAGGGCCTTAGTCACAAGTTCCGATAGGGTTTTTGCCTCGAACAAAGAGACCCTCTTACGGATCTCATCTTGTAATCCATTCTCGAACAACAATACCTTATCTGTTTCCTTAGCAACATGATGTGGGGCAAACTNGTTGAGAGATATTGACTTCATCAAGGTCTAAATCGGGGTTGAAGTTGCAGCTAGTGCACTATTCAAGCTAATTGGGCTGTTTTAACATCACTTCGTTATCTGGGCATAACTTTCTCCTCCAAGCTCCGATTGAGATGATTCAAGATGCTATATAATTATAAGAAAGAGATCTAAAACTTTCATGTGTTGATTTTTGAGTTATATTAACTGAACCAAGGTCAAAATCGAGCTTGAAGTTGCAGCCAGTGCACTGTTCACGTCCTGTTTCATCCATTTTTCATTTCCAATTCATTCCTAAGCCAACCAAATCCATCCCAAACCTCTCTAACACATATTTATACATCAAACCTATTTAATACAAGTTCTAGGACCTAAAATTTCATATTTTCACTTATTACAACCAAATTTCAACTATTATTTTCACTAACATTTTAAATCTCTACTTTTCCAATGTACCAAATTCAAACACACATCACTATACATATCCTCATTTTTACCACAATTATTTACTATATATCTATATACATATATAAAAAAAAATGCGGGGTGTTACAATCCACCCCTCTTAAAGAAAGTTTCGTCCTCGAAACTTATTTCAAGTAGCAAACAAATATGGATACTTCTCCCACATTTCTTGCTCCGGTTCCCATGTAGCTTCCTCCACTCCATGGTGTTGCCACAAAACTTTCACCAATCTGATAACTTTGTTGCGAAGCACTTTTTCTTGGGCGTTGAGAATTTCTACCAGTTGTTCTTCGTAGGTTGCTCTGTATTGAATTTCAATCTCCTCCAAGTTCACAACTGGAGTTGCATCCGAGTGACACCTTCTNTTTCTTCGTAGGTTGCTCCGTATTGAATTTCAATCTCCTCCAAGTTCACGACTGGAGTTGCATCCGAGTGACACCTTTTCAACATGGACACGTGAAACACATCATGTACTCCGGATAGCTGGGCTGGTAGTCAAAGTTGATATGCCGCCTTGCCTACCGCTTTGATTACCTCAAACAGTCTGGTATATCTTGGCGATAACATCCCCTTCTAGCCGAATCGAAATACGCCTTTCTTGGATGACACCTTGAGAAATACGTAGTCTCCCACCTTGAATTCTAAGGGTCATCGTCTGTGGTCCGCATAGCNACGCTAACTTCCCCTTCTTGCCGAATCAAAACACGCCCTTCTTGGGTGATACCTTGAGAAATACGTAGTCTCCCACCTTGAATTCTAAGGGTCTTCGTCTGTGGTCCGCATAACTCTTCTATCTACCTTGCGCCATCCGTAGCCTCTCTCGGATGAGTTGAATCTTCTCCCTAGTTTCTCGAACAATGTTTGGTCCAAACAAATTACTCTCGCCGGCTTCTAACCAACACGTCGGTGATCGGCATGGTCTTCCATACAATGCTTCATACGGTGTCATCCCAATACTTTCCTGATAGCTGTTGTTGTAAGCAAACTCCACCAACGGTAAGTGGTCGCTCCAACTCCCCTTGAAGTCCAACGCACAAGCNTTCTTGGGTGACACCTTGAGAAATACGTAGTCTCCCACCTTGAATTCTAAGGGTCTTCGTCTGTGGTCCGCATAACTCTTCTGTCTACTTTGCGCCATCCGTAACCTCTCTCGGATGAGTTGAATCTTCTCCCTAGTTTCTCGAACAATGTTTGGTCCAAACAAACTACTCTCGCCGGCTTCTAACCAACACGTCGGTGATCGGCATGGTCTTCCATACAATGCTTCATACGGTGTCATCCCAATACTTTCCTGATAGCTGTTGTTGTAAGCAAACTCCACCAACGGTAAGTGGTCGCTCCAACTCCCCTTGAAGTCCAACGCACAAGCGCGTAACATATCCTCCACAATCTGTGTCACCCTCTTGGATTAGCCATCCGTTTGGGGATGAAAAGTCGTACTAAAGTGTAACTCCGTCCCCATCGCTTGTTGTAGACTCTGCCAGAATCTTGCCACAAACCTAGAGTCACTATCTGACACAATCGAGAGTGGAACATCATGTAACCTCACTATCTCACAGATATACAGCTGGCTCAAAGTCTTGAATGTATCCGTGGTCTTCATACCCAAAAAGTAAGCGGACTTGGTGAGTCTATCCACAATAACTCATACTATATTATGCCCGCGCGACGTCTGTGGTAAACCCGACACAAAGTCCATGGTGATGTAATCCCACTTTCACTCTTAAATAGGCAAAGACTGTAGGACTCCTCCTGGCCTTTGATGCTCAATCTTCNAGCTCCAACTCCCCTTGAAGTCCAACGCACAAGCACGTAACATATCCTCCACAATCTGTGTCACCCTCTTGGATTAGCCATCCGTTTGGGGATGAAAAGTCGTACTAAAGTGTAACTCCGTCCCCATCGCTTGTTGTAGACTCTGCCAGAATCTTGCCACAAACCTAGAGTCACTGTCTGACACAATCGAGAGTGGAACATCATGTAACCTCACTATCTCACAGATATACAGCTGGCTCAAAGTCTTGAATGTATCCGTGGTCTTCATACCCAAAAAGTAAGCGGACTTGGTGAGTCTATCCACAATAACTCATACTATATTATGCCCGCGCGACGTCTGTGGTAAACCCGACANTTCCACAATAACTCATACTGTATTATGCCCGCGCGACGTCTGTGGTAAACCCGACACAAAGTCCATGGTGATGTAATCCCATTTCCACTCTTAAATAGGCAAAGACTGTAGGACTCCTCCTGGCCTTTGATGCTCAATCTTCACCTGCTAGCACACCGCACATTTTGCCAAATACTTGGCCACATCTCACTTCATTCCCCTCCACCAGTATTGATGCTTTATGTCCCTATACATCTTTGTGCTATCGGGGTGGATAACAAACTTGGAGCGATGACACTCTCCCAGTATCTCCTCCTTTAGGGACGAATCATCAGGAACACATAGCTTCTCCCCATATCTCAACTTTCCATTCTTGCAAGATCATCCTTCAATCGCTTCTCCATTCTCCAATTGGGCTCTAATCCAATCGGGTTCCGAATCCAGGCATTGTAACTCCACTACCCGTCGCCGAAGTGTCGGTTGAGCTACAAGGTTGAATAGTTATGCTTGATACTCCGGTTCATCCATCCATAAATCATACTCCTCTACAATACATCAATCATTTTCCACCTATTTATCGCAAGAAAATTGATTTCACCTCGAGACTTCCTGCTAAGAACGTCGGCAACTACATTGGCCTTCCCCGAATGGTAGTTGAGCGTGAACTCATAATTTTCCAAGTACTCAATCCACCTTCTCTGTCAGAGATTCAAGTTTTTCTGTGTGAAGATNGTGTTGGTTGAGCTACAAGGTTGAATAGTTATGCTTGATACTCCGGTTCATCCACCCATAGATCGTACTCCTCTACAATGCATCAATCATTTTCCACCTATTTATCGCAAGAAAATTGATTTTACCTCGAGACTTCCTGCTAAGAGCGTCGGCAACTACATTGGCCTTCCCCGAATGGTAGTTNCTCCAATGCATCAATCATTTTCCATCTATTTACCCTAAGAAAATTGATTTCACCCCGAAACTTTCAGCTAAGAGCATTGACAACTACATTGGCCTTCCCAGGATAGTAGTTGAGTGTGAACTCATAATCTTCCAAGTTCTCAAACCACCTTCTCTGCCGGAGATTCAAGTCTTTCTGTGTGAAGATATACTTGAGGCTTTTATGGTCCAAGAACACTTGAAATTTCTCCCTGTATAAACAACATCTCCACAACTTAAGAGCAAACACCACCGCAGCCAGCTCCAAGTCATGTATGGGATAATTCTACTCATGCACCTTGAGTTACCTCGAGCCATAAGCCACTACCTTCCCTCCATGCATTAGAACGCATCTCAAGCCTTGTAGTGAAGCATCAGTGTAGACATCGTAGCCTTCCCCACTGCTCGGAATAATGAGGATAGGCGTCATCGTCAACTTCTCCTTCAAGGTGCAAAAAGCTAGTTCACACGCTTGAGTCCACAAAATTTTATCCCCCTTCGTTGTAAGGTGAGTCATCGACATTGCAGGCTTGGAGAACCCTTCCACAAACCTACGATAATAGCTGGCTAACCCCAAGAAACTCTGTACTTCCGTTACGTTCTTTGGTGGTTCCCATTTCATCATGGCCTCAATCTTTGCGGGATCAACCGCTACTCCTTGCTCAGACACAACATGGCCAAGGAATTTCACTTCCTTCATCCAAAACTCACACTTGCTCATCATCGCATATAACTTATGCTTTCTCAATGTTTGTTGCACAATAGAGAGATGACGAGCATGTTCCTCCTGAGTCTGTGAGTAGATCAATATGTCATCAATGAACACAATGACAAATTGATCGAGGTAAGGCCGGAAGATTCTGTGCATCAAATCCATGAATGCTGCGGGGGCGTTAGTCAATCCGAACGGCATCACCGTATATTCGAAATGACCATAACGGGTACGGAAAGCAGTCTTAGGAATATCCTCCTCCTTAATTCGCAGCTGATGATACCCCGTGCGAAGATCAATCTTGGAGTAATACTTCGAACCCTTCAACTGATCAAATAAGTCATCAATTCTCGGCAACAGATACTTATTCTTCACGGTAACCCGATTCAACCTCCGATAATCCATGCACAACGGTAGAGTCTCATCCGTTTTCTTCACAAAGAGAATCGGGGCTCCCCAAGGTGAAGTGCTTAGATGAATAAACCCAATCGCCAATAAATAATCCAACTACTTCCTTAGTTCCTTCAACTCCAAAGGTGCCATCTGGTAGGGAGCAATGGATATGGGTTCAGTTCCCAGATAGAGATCGATGTTGAACTCAATTTCCCTATGTGGCGGTAATCCTAGTAATTCCTCGGGAAAAACATCTTGAAACTCCGATACAATTAACACCACATCTATATGGATTTTATCCCTGTCATTTGCCATCAAGCTATCTTAGAAACTCAAATGACTTCCCGATTTCGCTTTTAAGAATCTACTACTCATAGTAGGAAA